AGCCCCGGGGCTCCGGCTCCCGGCGCGGAGGGGATCCCACCCCCCCGCGCCGCCCGAGGTGCCAATTCCCGGGAGGTGGGGGGGGGGAGGGGGAGGGAGCACTTGGCTCGGGGCCCGGAAGACGCCAGCGCGTAGCCCGGACGGCACAGCCTCGGGGCCGCTGCCCGCTCCCCTCCCTCCCCTTTCGGGTGTCATTTGCCAAGGTGTGGGTCTTGACAGTTACACGTGTCGCTGGGGATGATGTGCATGCGTCGCGTCCTCTTACGGACCCTCTCCCTTTACCGAATCCACTCCCCACCCTCCCCAGGTTCTGGGTCAACCCTCCGTGAAGTTTCCTTTCCAGCCCTGCCCCCCCCTAAACTTGGGGGGGGGTTGTTCCTTTCCAGCCCTGCCCCCCTAAACTTGGAGGGTGCGCAGTAACCACACAGGTGAGCCATTCCCTTCTCCGCAGGTGTGCTGCGTGCCACAGCGTTCTTTTTTTTTTTTAATTGCCTCTTCACCTACTTCTGTGGTTTCCTTTCCTTCTTTTTTATTCCGGATCGCTCCCTTAGTTGGCGGCGGCGGCCAAACTTCAGCAGAATGTTTCCTCCTCCCGCCGCTCCGTGACTTTCTGGGCTGTAAATAATCCTTCAATCAACCTGTGTAAAGTGACAACTCACTTCGAAGTTAAACCGAGACGTAGGCATTATGGCTGTTTCATAGGCCTGCGTGTCCTCGAGTCGCATCCCCTTAACGCGGGGCACCTGTGAGTCCTTTGTTTTTGCCTAATGAGGGCTCACCCAGCAGGTGCCTTGTTACAAATTCGGAAGCTTCCCCTGGACGCCGCCACCGCGGTCTTTCTGCCGCTAGAGGCGCTGTCGGCCTACCAATGAAAGACTTGCCTTGGCCTCCAACTCTCAGTGTCTATGGTTCTCTACTGTAACAGGCATTTATTTTTCAACAACTGGCCTCAATCATGAGCCGTTACCACTTTATGGTACGTTTTATTTTGCAGTTGCCACTGCTATCCTCCACCCCCACCACGTCTACTGTAATGTGGCTAAAACCCAGCTCTCGTTAAAATCCACACAGTAATGAAGACCAATCTGGGAAGTAATGATTAAATCGAGGGATTGCACAAAGCAGTGTGGAAGCCAAGGCAGAATTCTGCCGACTGTTGAAGGAGCTCTATGACCTGCAGATCAAAATCATGGTAGTCAAAAGCGTTTTTGAAAGACTTTTGTACAAATTGGTCCCTTTGAATGTTTATTGGGAAAGAACTTTTTAAAACTCCTACAGAATCTCAGAGTGTGCCCGAGGTGGTCTTTAACTTGCATATGCTCTATATGCATAGACAGAAATCCACTGAGCGTGGATAATATTACATTTTTTAGAAGACAATGTTTACTAAATCAAATAACAATGGGAAATTATTTCGCGAAATGGGGGACTTTTATTATTTTCTGACGGCCAGCTTGTTAGAGACAAATATGGGATTTTTCCTTGGGATAGAGGTGCCTCAGAGAGAAAACCAGTTAGACCTAAACATTTTGAATGGGTTATATGTTGTGAGGTCCCAGGGTTCACTGCTTGTTTATCTTTGGATTCTCAGTATCAATTCTTAAATCAATCAGTGCCCCAAATCATAGCACTGAGGTTGCTTAAAAATCCAAGCATGTAATAAAACATTCATTTGCGTTGGCAAGAGAAAAGGAGAAATTACTGCTTGTTGAAGGCAGAGTATATCCTGGGGGTTGTCTCCCTGTGTGTGGACCCCATGCCCCAGAAGAGTTGCCTGTTGGGTGCTCTTTAGTGGCATCTTAGCCCCCAACGCGTCCAACACAGAACCCTAGACCCCAGACCCCCAACTCCTGAATCCACTCGTCCCCGACTCTTCCAGACTCAGTGATAACACCTTCTGCCTTTTCCAGATGTCTCACACTAACACATAGAAAGCCATCCCTCTCTCCCTAAAATCCACCGACCTCCAACATGTACTTCCATCTACCCTCTGCCCTCGCTTTCTAGGTGTGCTTTCCGCAACCCAGCCCTCCGTTTCTTCTTCTCTGTCTTCTGCAGGAGCCTCTTATCCCTGCTAGAGTAGCCTCCTGACGGGTCTGCTGGCTCTCCTTCCTGCCCCTGAACAGTGTATTCTTCCCAGTGCTACAGCCAAAGTCATCATTTTCAATCATGAGTTGGATCATGCTGGTTTCCTGTTTAAAACTCTCCAGTGGCTTTCTACAGCTCTTAGGAAAGAAAATTCAAACCTCTGGATAACCTAATCCCTGTTTTCCTCTATGATATCCTCTCTTACCATACCCCCATTCCCCCCTTACTCATTCTACTCCAGCCACACTGGCATCCCTTCTTTCCAACTTTCCAGTATAGTGTTGCCATGATTTTTTTTTAAAAAACGAAATTCAGTGTTTGCACTCTGAAGGTTTTGCA